TTGTGGCTCACATTATGTTTCCATTGACGGTGCTGGTCTACAGCCTGAAATGTGGAGGATGTGTGACCTCTAGGAAAAGTCTAAAAGAAGGGAGATGGGGGAAGAGAGAAAACAATCTCTTGTATTTGCAAATATCTTTCTAAAGCAATAAAATCTTTTATAATTTGGCTTTCCTCATGGGAAGGAATACTCAAAAAGAATGGGTTAGGATGTCTGTGGAAATGATCTCAGGTGAGTTCTTTCGGAAGCAGACTCTGACTGAGAATTTGAATTGGGAGGTGATCCAGGAAGCACCTGGAAGAGAGGGGAAGCCAACAGGGAAGGGAAGGAAAAGGAAAGAGGGCGTGTTAATGAGCAGGTTGTTGCTGTGGGCTCACATGCTCCCTTCCCAATGGGGCCCTGTGGGAGATTTTGTAGGTCCCACCGAGCAAGTGAGAAAGCTGAGATGTTCATCCACCAATTGCCAGTAGTTGCTGGTTGAGGGCCACTCCTAGGGGCACCAGCGTCCCCTTCTGCTCCCCAGCCACACCAGCCTGCCCTGCCTGGGGCCGGGTAAAGCCCTGGGGCAGAAAGGCATAGGTGCTTGCAGGAAAAAGCCATCAGCGAGCTTGAGAATGGTGTCTGCCAGAGGCACAGGGTTGAGCCCCTCTAGAGCAAGTCCAAACTAAATGTCTTATCCTAGAACTCATAATTTCAACAAACATTTGTGTAGTTCTATGGTGTGTATGTTTTCTCATTTGATCTTAACAGTAGTATAGAGAGGTAGATTTATCATCATCCATGCATTATGGATGGGGAAACTGAGCCTAAGACACATCCAGTCAATTGTCCAAGAGAGTCCATCTGCGGTAGCCCTGTCTCCTGGCTCTGCATACGTGGTCACTCATGCCTGCCTCCTTGGATTTCTACAAAACTTGACTTGAATAAGGAGGTGTAAATACATTGAAATTTTTAAGGTGAGAATAGGAAACTAAAACGAAATTTTTTGTACTCTGTAGAATTTTTTAGATCTCCATGGGGAAGTGCAGATACTTATATCTACTTAGTCCCAAGACTATGCTACTAAGAAATATTACCTCTCTTTTGCACAAAGCACAATCAAAATCAAGAGGTTATAGAACCTGCTGACCACCACACAGGATGTTAGTGATAGAGTGAAATTCCAGAAAATCTTCAGAGAAGTCCCTGTAGCGGAAGCTTATGGACGCATGGCTTATTGAGGACTGGATTTTGTTACCTTCCCATTACTCAGGTTCTCTTCAAAAGTGTTGTCAGCCCCTTTGGTACCACTTGGAAACAAGTCTCCCCCAGCTTAATTTCCCTTTGCTATACTTCTAACTGACTTGGAAATTCTTTGCGGACTTCAGTAACACTTGTACTATTTAAATTTGAATAACCCCAAAGGATCTAGATAGGTCAATGTGTTTAAACCACAGGCTTTAGTCTATGTATTAGTTGATTAGAAACAGGTTTTATACATGATGTATACTTAATAAAGGGAGGAGGAAGCAAGCAGATGTTTGTAAAATCTAAATGTGTTGGATTGAATTTATTTGGCCCTCTTTTGCTGACTAGCTTTAGGAAAATCATACTTATGACAATTGAACTGTAAACAGTTAAATGATGTATTTCCCTAGAAATTTCCTGCTGTGAAGGGTCAGCCAAAAAAAAGTAAAAGGATTCCCTATATTAACACACTAAAAGAAGTTAACAAATATACCTTATAATAGTCAAATCTAAATCAAGGACATTGAATAATGGAATGCCTCAAAATAATCCTCTAATGTTCAACAATAAAGTGATTAGCAGTTGGAGTTCATTGAGTCAAACAATAGAAAAACTTTTGGCTTTTGTTACTATTGTTGTTGTTGTTAAGAGCTTTGAAAGCAACTTTTTCTTTGATGCAAGCATGAGATCATTAAGTTGCACTTAAATCGCTATCTGGCTCATTCTTTGACTCTCCAGCCTCCTGTTGTATCCCATCCTTTAAGTGAGGAACAGTTATTTTTCTCCTTTAAAATTGTCATATTTGATGGCTAGGCACAGTGGCTTATACCTGTAATCCCAGCACTTTGAGGGGCTGAGGCGGGAGGGTTGCTTGAGACCAGGAGTCTGAGACCAGCCTGGGCAACATAGCAAGATCCCCATCTCTACAAAAAATGTTTTTTTAATTAGCCATGCATGGTGGTGTGCGCCTGTAGTCCCAGCTACTCACTCAGGAGGCTGAGGCAGGAGGATTGCTTGAGCCCAGGAATTTGAGGCTACAGTGAGCTGTGATCACGCCACTGCACTGTAGCCAGGGTGATAGAGCAAGACCCTGTTTTAAATAAATAAATAAAGATAAAATTGTCATATTTGAGATGTTTTGAGTGTTTCAAAGACAAAATTGAAGATTTCTTGTTGGTTTTCCTTCCAGCCCAGATGAAATATGTACAAAATCTCCCTCTGAATTCTGAACACATGAAAATTATAGATAAAATATTCTAAAATTTTTTTTAAAGAATACATAACCAAGCTTAAACATAAGTGGAAAGTGTCCAAGGACCAGAAATGAAAGAAACTGCAGAGTGGTGAGGGGAGACTGAAGCTGGGCTGCTCCCAAGAAGTCAAGATGAGATGAGGCAGTGGGGACTTCAGGGGACACATGGGGATTGTACACCGCATGCGCCAGGAGCCCGCACACCTGGAGATCAAGATCCCCCCTGCACACACGGGGCTCAAAGGTTACCTCACCTTCTCTGGGATTGAAGCCAGAACGCTCATGGAAGGAAACAGGCCCACACCAGGCTCTGTGCCTCTATTACACATGAGTGCCTTGTGGGAGAGCCTTCTTTGGAGAAAGAACCTCAAGCCCTAACCTCAGAGTGTGCACCTCGCCTGGCTGGGCTATTTCATTCCCCAAATCACAGCACAAGGAGCAAAGTTTGCATTAGATGAACTGACAGACAAAAATTACAAGACACGGGATAAAATCAAATCCTTGAGAAACTTAAGCAAACACAAGGAAATATGGAATTGCTTTTTCTCAAAAGAGCTTAAGAATAAGTAAATATGTTTCATTCTCTTGAAATTCTGAAGGACAGAATTGCATCTTAGGAATAGGAAGAGAAAAAAATTCAATAAGAAAAGGGGGATGTAATAAAAAAAACCTATTGGAAATGAAAATGGAGTCATTGAAATGAAAAAAGGCAACAGGATAAACACCAGATTAATAAACATAACTTGTTTTAAAAATAACCAGAGATTTCTGCTTCTGACATATGCATTTGAAGCATTAGATAAAAGTGATTCTTTTCCTGGAGTTAAGTGATACCTTTTCCTTAATGTTCCTTTGTAACTAAAAATGTCTAGAAATGTAGAATGAGCTGAAATTTTCATAAATTTCACAGCATAATGAAATATTATCACCTTTATGAAATTGTTAATTTTCAAAATCCCTCATACTCTTGAAATCTTCTTTCTCAGGTAGCATTACAAATCTGAGGTCTGTTCTCTTTTCCATGAAATTTCCTGTTGTTCCATATCTTTGCTGTATTTTTGGAACTATCTATATGTTAAAACTCATAGTTTGCCTAATCCTTTGCCCTCTCACACTTCCCTGATCTTGGTATATGACATTGTTCTATTCCCTGCCCCTGGAGGACTCTTCCACATGCTCACCTCCACCTCCATTCCATCTTCCCAAGAAATTCCCACCTTTGTTCACCAAAAAAAATTCTTGCCCATCCTTCCAGCCTCAGCTGAAAAACATGGTCCTCTTGGAAACTCTCTGCTAACAGCCATCAACTCTTCCCCTTCTCTCGCTCACAGCATCTCTCTCCCAGTTGCACAGTTGAATAGGAAGTAGATACTTTTATTTTTGCTTTCTCAGTATCTCTCCCAGCATCTGACATATAGTAGAAACTTTAAAAGTACTTGTGTGAATGCATAAATAAATGAATGAATGATATAAATGAAGAGCATATGGAATGAGAAGGAATGGAGAAATCTTAGCAAATCTTACCCAGAAGAAAGGGTTATTGTGGTTGAAAATAGGATTAAATAGTCAGTCATTCCAGGGAATTTGAAATTTGATACTGTAAAGGAATAGGGAATAAACATAGTGTTCAAGGAAATTTGATCTGCCATTGATAAACAAAGAATAGAAGTATGAACAATAAAATGTACAATTGTCCTGTGGTATCTGTGGGGGATTGGTTCCAGGACCTCCCTCAGATACCAAAACCCAAGGATGCTCTAGTCTGTGATATAAAATGGTGCAGTATTTGCATATAACCTGCACACATCCTCTTGTATACTTTAAATCAGCTCTAGATTACTTAGAATGCCTGGTACAATAGTTGTTATACTGTATTGTTTAGGGAATAGTGACAAGAAAAAAAGTCTATACATTCAGTATAGATGCAAGCATCCATCTTTTCCCCAAATATTTTTGATCCATGGTGAGTTGAATTGACAAACAAAGAACTCACGACTATGGAAAGCAGACTGTACTATGATTGAGTAAATGTGTGTGTGATGAGGATTTATAAATGCCTATAAATGGTCATTTGTTGTCAGCAATAGCTGAACAATTCAAACCTTTCTCCAAGGGATTAACCTCAGCTTGCCCATCAAAGGATAAATCCTAAAAATGCAATAGTAGTTGATTTGATGTGGGAATATATTCTTTATATTATTGTCGGTTCTGATTCAAGTAAAGGGATAGAAATCCATTTACCTCCTTTCTCCCTAGTTCGTGACCTATAACTAATTATTCAGTTAAATATCCCTGAGTTAGTGTAAGAAACAGGACAAAAAGAATGAAGTTTGAATGTTTTCTGAAAGGTTCTTTTAAATGCAGCTTTTGAAAATCCAGTTTAAATCTATAAATACTTGAAATTGCATTGATTTCATTGAGGTTTCTGAAAAATATCAGTTTTTCCTGAGTATGAGTAATTTTGTGTATGCTAAAGTATAAAAGTATGCGTAATAATACTTTTCCTCTCTTTTTTGAACAGCAAAACTTAGAGAGTAACCTCACCAACCTTATTAAGAGGAACACGGAACTGGAGACCCTTTTGGCTAAACTCATCCAAACCTGCCAACATGTTGAGGTGAGTATCTCTATATCTCAGCGTGGTATGTTCCATATAAAAACTACTAAATCAGGGTTTTTATATCCTCATGCTTTATAATTTTAAAGCGAGAATCTTTCTTAAAATTAAATCGTTTGCAGAAGCCAAATATAAAAGATGGATGAAATTGGAAGGAACTAGAACCTCAGAGAATCTCTACCATCCAGGCTGCCTCCCCCTCCTGTTGTAGCTCTCCCTGATCCAGCATTATATAGTGATCCTAATGTTGTAGATTTTAATCACCCTTACAAAGAACAGCCAAGAAAAGCACTATTTAAAAGGTGTTGTGTTAGTTCACTAGGGCTGCCATAACAAATTAGCACAAACTTGGACAGCACAAAATAAGAGATATTTATTGTCTCTCAGTTCTGGAGGCCAGGAGTCTGAAATCAAGGTTTTGGCAAGTCTGAAATCCCCTCTGACAGCTTGAGGGGAGGATTCTTCTTTGCCTCTTCCCACCTTCTGGTGGTTGCAGGCAATCCTTGGAGTTCCTTGGCTTGCAGCTGCAGCACTCCAATCTCTGCCTCTGTCATCGCATGGCATTGTCCTGCTATATCTCTGTGTTTGTGTCCAAATTTCTTTCTTTTTATAAAGAACTCGCCCTGCCTTGGCTCACTTTAATTTGATCACATCTACAAAGACTCTATTTCCAAATAAGGTCCCATTCACAGATACTGGGGGTTAGGACTTGAACATATCATTTTGGGAGACACAATTCAACCCAATACAGGTATATATTAAATGCACCGCAGTTGTCAGATGTATTTCCATGAAAGCAACCACAATTGCAGCAATAGCAGAACCTGCAATGACTCTACATTGCATAAGGAAAAAAATAGATACCCATGCCTTCGTGTGATTTTTCATGTCCTCTTCTGTCTTCTTCCAACCTGTCTTTCCCACTATCCCATTCCATGCACTAAAACTAAACAATTGCCATTCACAGTGCTTTTAAGCCTTCTGGTCTTTAATCAAGTAGTTCCCCCTGCCTGGTAGGTGCATACCCCCACCCAATGTCTATTTCTTGGAATCCTTCCTGTCTATCCTCCAAGTCCCAAGTCATGGAACACTTCAATTGTGAATGTTTCTCTGGTTCCCTAGACTGGAGTCATCTCTTCTTTCTGTGAATCACATAACACTTGATCAATAATTTTTTTGTGGCTTTTATCACTCTTTTATTTACCAGTTCCATTTTTCCAACCAGAATGTGATGTCTTTGAGGATGCGGATCAAATCTAATTCATCCTTGTTTTGCAGAGACTCTAGTATAGTAGTTTTCACACAGTAGAAGTTCAGGGAATTTATTTTGGACTGATGTTCATGATGACTCTCCAAACGGCCAATTTGAACATTATATGAATGCTTGCAAGTTCAGCTTTCCCAAATATGTAAAGTTAGAGAAGCAAATTATCTAAACTATGTATTTAAAATTTTTGACAGTAACTGCATTTTTGTAACAGCAATTTATTCAAATCCCTTTTATCATATAAACAGTAATGATAACTTTATAGCCTCCAATGTGCTTACAAATGTGGCAGTAGATGCACAATGTAGTTACAAAATAATTAGATCACAAAGTGTTAGAGAACAATGTCCACACACATAGTAACACAATTAAAGAACAGTAGAGTAGTCGGGTGCTGAGCTAGTACAACATTGCATCTATTTGATTCTAAGATTCACATTTTTTTCAAGACTAGTATCTCTGAAATTGGACTGCAACTTAAAAGTAATGATGAGACAATTTAATGGGAAGGATTTTTTCATTCTTACTGGCACATAAAATATGTGTGAAACAGTTGCTGATATGTTAGATTAGTTGTAGCATGACATTGGAAGTGGGGATTAAGAGAGAGAAAGAAAAGTGAGTACCATTTGCCTGAAACTTTATGGAGGAGTCAGGACTGGAGCCAGAACCTATAGATTTCACAACTATTTTTCAAAATACTCCAGGTATTGGGGTACCAGTCTATTTATGCAACAGAGTGGTGTTTGTCAGGGCGTAAAAGCATCTCTACTGTGCAAACACTAGTGCTTTGATGGAAGACTTAAAATGCTTTGTGTTTGTGAAGTTCGTGCTTTTACTTACAAGTGTGCTCCTTATGATTAGAAACTTAAAACTGGTTACTAAGAGAAACATATGAGTTGGCAACTTTTTCCAACTCTAAATTGATCATGCTTTCTACAATAATATCCAGTGGGATGGAAACTAGGGGTGGTCTCCTTTCCTACCTGAGTCATCACTCCAACAGTTCATCATTTGAGGTGTTGATGAGCAGGGTTATGATATGTGAAAGAAGGAAAGACATACAAAAGGAAAGAAAAGGAAGAGCAAAATGTAGGTGAGAGAGCAAATTAGAACTCTCCAGCAAACTCATTGGCTCATGTCACAGACCCCCCCCCCACGCTTCAAAAACTGCATGATCGTCAAAGTAGAACCAGTCTTTCCATCGTGTTGGGATGAAGTTGGGAGTGTGAAGGCAGCAGCAACAGTAATAGCATGTTACAGAACCCAGACCTTTCTAACCCTCTGCTTAGGCTGGATTCATTTTTGGCTACAATCTTGCCAGGGAACATGTTCAGCCTTGTTGATTAAACAACATTGGAAATAATAGTGAACAAGCATAATGTTTTCATTATTATAGGGTAAAGTGAATATGTATCATATGAATAAATGGATGAACAAAATGGAATGATGCATATGCCATATTTTATTTTTATGATGTGATGGCAGTTGATGTTTAGGACAATAAGAAATAATTATTTCTCTTCAGTAAAAAAAATTACCTGGGCTTTATGGTAAATCTTATAAATGCTTTATGGATTGAGTGATTATTTCATTCAATTTCAGCTAGTTACTTCTTAAAGCATTAGTGTCTGGTTTCCATTATGGCCCATAGTAATTTCAGAGCAAATGCCTTGCTCCTAATGCAATATTAGTATGGCTTGAATTTACAAAATGCTATTCGTTCTAACATGATGTGAAATTATATTCTATGATGTTCAGTAATTTCAAATGATAGATAAACTCAAGAAATTTACAAGCAAATTTTATTTTTATTTCAGCAGATCAGATATTATTTTAGTGGTGATACAGGCTTTTCAAATAAAGCTATTACTGAATTGATCGTAACAGACTTGCTAGTAGACACATACATGCCATTAGAAGTTATGCTAGACAAAGAATAAAGAATATTCACTGCTTTCTCTGTTGTCTTTGCATAAATCCTTTGGAATGAAAACAAATGTTAGTGAGTGAGTATATCTAGTATTTGGAAAATTTATTTAGACAAAAATTAAAGAAAATTATTTATGAGTAGAAAAATAATGATACTAGCAATACCTATTTGTATATTTATTCCCTTATACCTAATTATTAATAGTCACAAAGTATAATTTTTCAAAAAGTTGAACACCTAATTCTCATATAATAATCAAATGAGTCTACATCAAAGATACATTTGACTCATTAATGAAAGAAGCAGCAAGATAACAAAGCTGGTTCAAAGGAGGATACCAGAAACACTGACCCAGGGTTCCTCAAAGTTTTTAAACAGGGGCCAGTTCACTGTCCCTCAGACCGTTGGAGGGCCTTTGGAGAGTGCGGTGCACATTCCACACATGCGCACTGTGGGCCCAGGACGAGTGGGCTGCTAAGCAGGACAGGCAGCGGCGGCAAAAACACCAAGCAGGGTGGATAAATGTCCTTGGCAGGCCACATGTGGACCCCTGACTGACACATAAACCCGGGGGGAGGGGTGTAGTAAGGGAAAAGACTAAATTAGGTACAAAACTGGTTAATGACCTACAGAGCAATAAAGCCATAACATTTGGGCAAAATAAATTGCACATCATCAGGTTTCTCTAAGTTAACATCTAACTTTGCAGACTCTAAACCCTAAGCAATAGTAAATAGAAAGTAAAACTCTGTTACACTCCAGTCTAGGGAATCAGATGACCCTGACTTAGGCTGACTTCATGGAATATGCTCTAGAATGGCAGTGGAAGGGCTCACAGTCTTCTCTTTGCCTTATTTCCAAGTTTTGGCTAATTTGCTTAACATGACTTACTGTTCTGGAGATTGTCGATCTATGAGCAGTGTTTGCTAAACAAATATTTCTTGGTAAGGGTGTAAATCTTTGCCTGTGTACAGTTATATTAATTTGTTAGTGTCACATTGGTTTGTTCATTTCCTGAACGTGGATGGAGCACCCACTGTATGTGTGCTACACCATGCTAGGTGCCAAAGGATCCTACCCACAGGGCGCTTACTACCTTCACTAAGACAAAAGAGCACCTACAATACGATATAAAGTAGAAAGCTGTAACTACCATAAAAGAGGCATGGATTATATACTTTGAAACTTCAGAGAAGTAAGAAATTACTTCTAGCTGGGGGTTGGAGGAGGTAGCACAAAATCTGAGGCTGCCATCAAGGGCAGCTAATGTTTGGGTTTATGGAAGGAGGGGAACAGCACTGCTTGCCAGGCAAATAAAGGCTCATGGGGATGAAAAAATCAAGAGTGTATGTACACAAAGAAGTAGTACATTCTATAGAAATGGGAGGTATGTAGGAAGAAAGGATAAGTAGGAACCAACTTTGGAGAGATGAGAGCTGGGAGGGTTTTCATGTTGCATCTGAGTTTGAACTTTGGTCTTGAAGGTTCAGTGAGAATTCAAAGAACACAGAGATGTGTAAGTTGCAATTGGCATCCTTAACTCTTTCCAGGAAATTATATTTTTGGTTATTGGGAAAATAATATGGATAGCTTCAGGCAAAACAATCCCACATCCAAGGGAAAACTTCATAGCACTAGCAAACTCCAAAAAGGCCGTGGAATTAGTTAGGCATCAGCATGCTATTCTTTTCAATCAGTGTAGTGAAATAGAATTTCCTGGTTCACATCCTTGGTTCCTAGACTGTTCTCCTTCCTTTTCCTCTTCCTGAAGGTGTCCTTGTATTTGGGTATGAGCATTGC